CCAAAACCTACTTTTTTGTAAGGCCCCTATAAATAAATCCCATATTAGGGTTTATAATAAGAACCTACAAAAAAGTGGGGTTTTGGGGTTCTTACGGTAGGGCTTAGGGGTTCAGGGTTTAGGGCTTAGGGCTTTTGTTCAACCGGAGCCCTAAACCCTAAACCCTGAACCCGAAACCCTAAAACCTGAAGCCCTGGGCGCGCCGCCGTAAACCCCTTAAGCCCTACACCGCAAACCCTTAAAGCCCTAAAGCCCCAAACCCCTAAACTCTGCACACTGAAACCTACACCCCTAAACCCCTGAACCCCTAAACCCCAAACCCTAAACCAAAACCCCTAAACCTACACCCCTAAACCCTTAACCCCTAAGCCCCCATGACTCTTGAGGAAGCGACGTGTTCGCCAAAGATTGCACAAGAAGCTCGGGGCCATGCTCACGATCGAGGATAGGTCCTTTTCAGGGGATCCTTTAAGGGTACCTTTAAGGCTTTGAGGGGTTCCTTGAAAGAGATCCTTTAAGGGTTCCTTTAAGGCTTTACGGGGGTCCATTTAAGGGTTCCTTTACAGGGATCCTTTAAGGGTTCCTTTAAGGCTTAAAGGGGTTCCTGTTAAGGGTTAAGGGTTGCTTTGAAGGCAGGGTTCTACGATAGGGTGCCCTTTGTCGGGGTTGGGCTTGAGGTCTGGGGTTGTTTTGGGATTGGGGTTTCAGGGTTTGGGGCTTAGGGCTTAGGGCTAAGGGTTTAGGGGTAATGTTTCGGGTTGAGGGTTTTCATTTTCGGGTTTCGGAGTTTGCGTGCGACCTCCTGATTTGCCCGGTAGGCTATGCTGCAGGAGATCTTGTTTGAAGGTGTTCAGTTGTGCGGTTCTGTGGGTTCATGGCTTCCGTGATGATCCCAGGAGCTACCCTAAGCCCTAAACCCCAAACCCTAAGCCCTAAACCCTAATCCAAAGCCCTAAACCCTAAACCCTAAACCCTAAAACCTAAGCCCTAAACCCTAAAAGCTGCGAGGCAGTTGTCTGTTACAGTCGGGTTACGGTTTTTGGCTGAAGGCAGTAAGTATGTTGGAGAAGGGCTGGACTAAGACTAGTGAGTTCAGATCAGCTGACGAGAATCGCAACGTTACTTAGAAGTGCTGCTTCCGCTAGCTACTTCTATTGTAGGGTACTCTTCTAATTGATGTTAATGTTAGCAGTGGTTTTGAACAGTATCCTTCTTGCCTGTTACTACTCCTACTGCTACCAGTACTACCGTGCTTCTGCTACTTTCTATTACTGCCACTGCTGCTCCTGCCGGCACTACCGCTACCACTACCACTATCACTACACTGCTACCACTACCACTACCACTTAACCGCTACCACTGCGACTGCCGCTGCCGCTGCCGCTGCCGCTGTCGATTGGCTGTCACAGCCACGCAGCCGCTTGCCACTGCCATGGTAGCAACACCGCTACCACCATCACGACCGCAACCACCACGAAGATGATTACGACGCCTACGACTAGGACAACGGCGGCTTTTGCTGTCATTCCGGACGGTATCGTCACTACATTTGCTTGGTTCTTGGTCTTGCCCTCATCACATCTACTGCTGACAAAGGCTTCAAGCCATAAGCCCTTAGCCATAAACCCTAAACCCTGTAGAAAAAGCCTTAAACTTGCCAGTGCTATCGCTTGTCCCAGGAGTTTGAGCAAGCCATGGACCGGTTTCAAGCGATGGTCGAAGACACTCAGGCGAGGCTCCACGTTTAGGCACCCCCTTCATACAAGCGCAAGAGCTCCAACCTTAAGCCGTAAACCCCAAAAGGGTTTCGGGTTTTAGGTTTAAACTCTAAACCCGAAGCCTACATGAACACCCTACACATCCCTAGTAAGGGTGCGCCATAATCAGTTGGCTTTCGGGAACCAGTACGTAAGCTCCGTAGCTTCGTGACTGTCTGGTCTGCACCAGGTGTCGTGCTGCACTGAGTAAGCTTAAGGCTTTACGCCAAAAGCTCCAAGGTCCTAAACTCCAAAGCCCAAGACGTTGTACCTGGAAGTTTCTGATCAAGGTCCTGAAGCTTAAGCCCTAAACCCTAAACCCCTAAACCCTGAACCGCTAAACCCTAAACCCTTAACCCTAGAACCCCTAAACCCCTAAACCCCTAAACCCCACCAGACCGCAACCCCAAAGCCCCGAGCCCTGCAACTCGATTCTGACGATCGAAGCACCAGCGCCGCTCGGTAGCCTTTTGGCTTCGGACAGTGATGGTTTAAGGTTTAGGGTTTAGGGTTTAGTCTAGGACATTTTCAGGTGGGGAGTTACCATTATAGGAGCCTTATAGATAGAAGGTCTATTTAATACCTTATAGAAACCTTATAGAAGCCCTGTATACCCTAAACTCCGCACCTGTAGTTTCCTTTGATTTAGTGTTTAGGGTTTAGGACCAGTTAATGGAGTCCCAGGGCCCAAGAAGGAAGATTGAACTCATCAGAACCTATAACCCCAATGATAGGCCTGTAAGAGTACTTCGAGGTGTTCCGGTTTTTCCAAGAAGACCTCATGATTCGAGAAGTTTTGTCTTGTTGCTATGTCTCTTGCACTTCTGACTGATTTCACTTCACTCTCGGTCGGTTTGTGTGCTTAAAGATCTTGCCGTGGTATTCCAATCCCCCAGCTGCCCTCGAGAAATCGCAAAACACCGTAGCAGTCTGGGGTGCACTAAGCTTCGAAGGCCCCCTGCAAACCCTACACCAAAACCCCAAAACTCCCAAACCCCCAAACCCCAAACCCTAAACCCTAAACCCAAACCCTCAACCAAAACCCCTAAACCCCTAAACCCCAAACCCTAAACCCTAAACCCTAAACCCCTAAACCCTAAACCCTAAACCCTATAAACCCTGTAAGCCCTAAACCAACACCCCTGGCCATGGAGCTCACCCGGGAACCCTCGCCGCGCGGAGTGCAGCAGGCGGCCAGGCCTCCCTGGGTTTCCGGGGTAAAGGTGGGTGGTTGTCAAAATTAGGGTCCCTTTTTGGGTCCTTACTATAATACGGCACCTGTTATTTAGGGTACCCCAAAGGGGACCATAATTTTGGCAACTACCCAGGTAGCTTTCTAAACTAGGGTCCCTTTTTAGGTCCTTTTTATGAGGGTGCCGTACTATATTGGGGGCCTAGAAAGGGACCCTAATTTAGACAACTACCCATAAAGAGCGCCAAACCGTAAAGAGGAAATAAATGAACCCTCAAAGGGTTTGGGGTTTAGGGTTTAGGGTTTAGGGTTCAGGGTTTAGGGTTTAGGGGTTTAGGGTTTAGGGGTTTAGGGGTTTAGGGTTTAGGGTTTTCATGTAACATATAGGGGTTCATAGCATAAGGGTGTAATAGGGCCCCGGTTTCAGTGGTCCTCAAGGAAGAGCACACGAAGCTCACGGCCCAGGGTTTAGGGGTTATACGGTTCTGGAGTTGAGCTGTGGGTTCGCTTCAATGTGTGGTGGGCACCGCGAATACAGCACAAGGTTACATCAACTATAATTATCTCGGTTAACCCTCCCTGGCAGCAACAGCGAGATCTACCTGAGCCTTAGACCCCGAACCATAAATCTTAAACTCTAAGTTACCCTTGCCCCTTAAACAATAATAAAAGACGAAACGTTCCAGGCGCGCACGAGCTGCCAAGGTGCTTGGCTGGATTCCGATGGTGTGTCATTTCGGGTTCAAGCTTGTTTTAGGTTTGAGGTTCAGGGCTTCAGGTTTATGCTCTTCTTTTTTAGATCTTAGACACCTTACTTGAAGGAACCTTGAATCCTAAGCCCTGCGCTCCTGAACCGTACATGCTTGCAATAACCCGTATAGAACCCTCAAAGGAACGAAGCCCTTTCAAGGAAACCGTTAAGGGAACCCATGAAGGTTCCCTTCAAAGGAACCCTGAACCCTAAACCCTAGACCCAAATTCTGAACCCTAAACCCTAAACCCTGAACCTAAACCTTAAACCCCTGAACCCCTAAATCCTGAACCGTAAACCCTAAACCCTAAACCCTAAACCTTAAACCCTAAACCCTACGATCCCTAAA